TGCAGGCAAAACCTCAGGCTGAGGCTGAGGCTGAGGCTGAGGCTGAGGCAGGCTGAGGCTGAGGCTGAGGCTGAGGCAGGCTGATGCTGAGGCAGGCTGTGGCTGAGGCTGAGGCTGATGCAGGCTGAGGGTGAGGCAGGCTGAGGCTGAGGCCGAGGCCGACGGCAGACTGAGGCTGAGGCTGAAGGCAGACTGAGGCTGAGGCAGAGGCAGGCTGAGGCTGAGGCTGAGGCAGGCTGATGCTGAGGCAGGCTGAGGCTGAGGCTGAGGCTCATGCAGGCTGAGGCTGCGGCAGGCTGAGGCTGAGGCCGAAGCTGAAGGCAGACTGAGGCTGAGGCTGAAGCAGGCTGAGGCTGAGGCTGAGGCAGGCTGAGGCTGAGGCTGAGGCAGGCTGATGCTGAGGCAGGCTGGGGCCGAGGCTGAAGGCAGAGTGATGTTGAGGCTGAAGCAGGCTGAGGGCGAGGCTGAGGCAGGCTGAGGCTGAGGCAGGCTGAGGCTGAGGCTGAGGCAGGCTGAGGCTGAGGCTGTGACTGCGACTGCTGTTGCCACTGCGACTGCCATCGCGAATGCGACCACGACTGCGAGAACAGCATAATTCTACAACAGGATTCTTATCTGAATCTTAAGGGGAATGCTTCCAGATATGCCCCTACACATCGCTGTTAGGTTGCTTTGCCGGGATAATTTTATGTGTCTCTGTTTCTCTCTCGCCTTCGATATGTAAATCTCTGCATAAGGACGCACATACCTATACGTGTATATACATCCATATGGATACACCGTATGTATAAACGTATGGTGTATATCTTCTCTCTCTCTCTGTCTCACTCTGTTCCTCTTTTTCTCCCTGTCACCCTCTTTCGTAGACATACACACAGACAGACAGACAGACAGACAGAGACAGAGACAGACAAAGACAGGCAGACAGACAGACAGGCAGGCAGACAGACAGACAGACAGACAGACATATAGACATACACACATACAGATACACATCTACGTTATATATATATAACTGTGTATGTATGTATGTATGTATGTATGTATGTATGCATGCGTGCATGCATGCATGCATGCATGTATGTATGTATGTATGTATGTATGTATGTATGTATGTGTGTATGTATGTATGTATGTACGTACGTACGTACGTACGTACGTATGTATGTATGTATGTATGTATGTATGTATGTATGTATGTATGTATGTATGTATGTATGTACACATATATGTATGTATATATGTATGTGCATATAGATATGAATGTATATCCGTGAGCTTCGCCCCCTGCCGCCGGCTCCCCCTCGGATAATGGGGCATGCAAAAGCTATGCTGCGAGGCCTAGGCGCCGTCGTGAAGCAGCGTCGGAACTCCGAACGGGGGCCACTTGGGTTCGGGTGCTCCTTCTCGGGTCACTCTTGGGGCCGTCTTGGGGCCGTCGAGGCTGTCTTGGGGGTCTCTTGAGCCGTCCTGGGGCCCTCTTGAACCGTCTTGGGGCGCCTTTGGGAGCCTCTTGGGCCGTCCCGGCGCGGTCTTGGGGGGCCTCTTGGGCCGTCGTGGAACGTCGAAGCCCGAAAATGCGAGCGTACCGAAATCCATCAAACACCTAAGGCAAATCGCAGATGATGGCCTCTCGGGCCCCTCTTGGGGGTGCTCTTGGACGGCTCTTGCAGACCTCTTGGGAGCCTCTTGGGAGCCTCTTGGACCGTCTTGGGGTCATCTTGGACGCCTTGGAGCACTTTTTGGCCGTCTTGGAGGCCTCTTGTACCGTCTTGGGGGCTTTTCGTGCTCGATTGTGGCCTCGAAAGCGCGAGTACTGCGTACACGAGGGTTTATGGTTTCGGGGACGCGAAGAACGCATACTTTACGAGAGATCGTGGCTCTGGGGACGCACATATTGCATAGCTTATGCGAGGCTATTGCTTCGAAAGCGCGCATATTGCGTAAGCAACAAGGAATTATGGTCTCGGGGGCGCGAGCAATGTGTAATGAGCGAGGGATTATGACCTCGGGGATGCGACTACTGCGTGATTGCCAAGGGATTCTGGCGCCGGGGGCGCGAATATGGCGTAAGTAATTCATGAAGGGTTACGGCTTCGGGGACGCGAATATCGCATATTTCTAGGTGTCCCCCTGAGAAATTCTAAGAACCCCCCCAGGTGGTGGTAACCAGGGCCCGTTTCGGCTCCCTCCCCCTCTCGCGAAGTTCAACAATTCACAGCACGAAGCAGGAAACAGGACTATAGAACATTGGAGACTGGAAACTGGAACTGGTGCTGGGAGCAGCACACCTAATCCGCGGAGCCTGGTGACCCCACGAGGGGGCCGGCGGATGTCACTCTCTCTCTCTCTCTTTCTCTCTCCTTCTTATTTCCGTCCCCCCCCATCCCCCTCCCTTCCTTCCTTCCTTCCTTCCTGTCACTTCCCTTTCGTCCACGTACCGTAGGCACGTGTCATATGTATGAATGCGCCGTGGAGGTGTCCTATCCCCCAGTGGCCCCCTTGGGCCTGGAGATCCCCCTTGCCAAGCGGACGCCAGGTGAGGCCTGCGCACATGCGCTCAACGCAGCAAGAGATGCACTGTTCCACGTGTCTCTACCCTGCACCTTTCTCCCCTCTGCCCTCCATCGTTCCAGATCCGTCGGCCGCTTCCGCGGCAGCGCGGCCAAGGCGCAAGGCGAGTGGAGCGGTGACGGGCAGCTTGCGCGTGGCCCGTGCCCAGTGTGCCTGCAGCCACCGAGGCGCTAGCCTCTCTGGAGACGTTTGGGTGTCGCGCTCCGTGGGCACATGTGCGGCCTATGCCCAGCCATGCCCGTCATCTCGGGCAGAATGAGGGAGGGAGGGATGCTGCTGCTGATGATGATGATGATGATGGTGGTGGTGGTGATGATGATGACGACGACTACGACGATGTTGATGATGCTGCTGATGCTGACGATGATGATGATGATGAGGATTCTGCTGATGATGATGCTGCTGGTGCTGCTACTGCTGATGATGATGATGATGGTGATGATGCTGCGGCTGCTGCTGCTACAAGGAGAATTATGATGGTGACGATGATGGTGATGGTGATGAGGAGGATGGCGACAATGATGATGATGCTGATGATGCTGATCATGCTGATTATGCTGATGATGCTGATGCTGATGCTGATGCTGATGATGCTGCTGCTGATGATGATGAGAAGGAGGAGGAGGAGAACGAGGAGGAGGGATAAGGTTTTATTCGAGGAAACGCAAACATGGATCAAGGCTCGTGGATTAGCAGTGGGTTTAACCGTCTCCACATCAGGCGACATTGATCTCACGTTTCTACTGGTAGCGCCCCGATCCATGGATATGGCGCTTACGGGCCAACTCCATCTTTCCTACGCAACATGTTGTCATTTGCGCGACTCATGTACGTAATTCTAGTGGAGTTTAGGAACATCCTCCTTGTCCTTGCTTTTCTCTCCCCCCTCCTTCACTTTTTCGGCCTTCTCATCCGTCCGTTATCCATCAGGCTGTTTCGACTCTAGTCCAGCATACCGCTGGGCTCAGCGACGCAGAGGATGGGGTCAGCCACCTCACGCCACGGCAAAATGCAGAAGATGCATTCTGATGTTTTCTGAAGTTTTGGATACTTTCTGAGGCGTTCTTCCTGTTTTTCTCCAGTTTCCCGCTGACTTCTCAGGAGGAGGAGGCAGGCGGCGGAGGAGGAGGAAGAGGAGGAGGATGATGATTTTCCCAAAACGTTCAGAAGCCATCCCAATTATTCGAACTGCTGGGTTGCCCTTGTATTTGTAGCCACCTGAAGGAGCCGACTGGTGAGGATGCGAAGATGGTGGAGGCCATGAGGGAGTGGGTACTGGAGGCCAACAAGGCTCGGGGAACGCCAACCATCCACCTGCGTACACTGATCCTGGCCAGACCAGTCGGGGGCTCCAGGTCGGTGCATACGAATTGTGGCGAATCTGGCATTTCTGATCCGCTGATCCTGGGCCGATGATGGGTCTGGCCAGGACCAGTTACGTGGGCGGGCAGTTGGCCAACAAGGCTTCCCAGGACTTGGAGAAGGATGCGCGCCACGAGGAAAGCGACCTCGGAGATGCCAAGCCCAAGGGCGAGGATGCCCGGCAGCCAATTCAGCTTCCAGCCCATGACCACATGCTTCTTCCCCGTCTCCCCTCCTTCCGCTCCGCTCTCCCTGTTCTTCTCCTCTTGCTCTTCCCTTACGTTTGATGTTGGTGAGTCTGGCCGGTCCGCAAGCGGCTGTTAGTAGAAGCGCGTGCGCCCATTCGACCCGCTTGGTACCTAGATGGTGACGGGCTTGATCTGAGAGAGAGGGAGAGAGAGAGAGAGAGAGAGACAGGATCGAACAATTCATGCGAGAGAGCAGCGACATGGGAACAATCCAGCCTCACAATCAGAATGAGCACCGCACGCACGCACAACTCTCCCGCGACTTGTTCTGGGGTGTCCCTCTCGCGTGAGGCCCCACGGGTCCTGTCACCCCGTGCCGAACTGCGGCCAGCAATGCCAAGGCCCGCTCGTGGCAAGAGAGCTGCCAAGAGACGATCACGGTCAGATCAACCAGCCCGAGAAGACGAGGCAGAGGCGTGCTGTCTGCGTGCCCCTCGCCGGGGATTCCGAACCTTTGTCCAACGCCTCTTTTAGCCTCTGCGCCCCCTTCCCTCACCACCCACCAAACCACCCCAACCCAACCCGAAGGCTCAGATTTACCCTCGATTTCTAGTGGGGGGGGGGTCCGGGAACATCGAACAAAACACATATGGAGCCCATACCCCCCCAACCCGAAATTCGGGTCTTCGGGTTGGGTTGGAGTGGTCTGGTAGGTAGTCACTCCCTCCCTCCCTCTCCTCCTTCCCCCGATTCCTTCCCACTCCTCCTCGCCCTCCATCCCGCTGTTCTGCGCTCCGCGCTCCTCTTCCCCTGCCCTCCTCTGCACCCGTCGCTTGTCCCTCCCCGCCAGTCCTTGCTCATCCACCTCCTCGTCCCCATGCACGTCCGAGAACATAACCACCGTCCCCTCCCTCCCCCTCGCCATCCTCGGTCCGGTGGGAAGGGGGTGTTGGAACGGGCTCCTGGCTGGCGTCTGAAGAGCTCCGTGTGCAAGACGTAGCTTGGTATTCCTATAGGTGTCGCACTGCCCATAGGAGAAGGGCACCATGCGCGATAAGATGGCAGGGCGCCCCGATGGACGTCGCGCTTCCGCACGACCTCCCTTTGGGGGGTGGGTAAGGTACAATTGCGCCGATGATCAAGACACCTCCCCGCGTCGCCTTGGCTCAGCGCTTCGTCGGCAGCTTCCAAACCGCTGGCCCAGCTTGTTACACCTTTTCGCACGCTCGGGGTTGAACGAGCATGGCTGGCCCAGCTTTTGCGCGAGATTGGGCCTTCAAGCTGGTCCAGCTTTCTGAGGCGAATCGTTTCTTAATCCTCTTCTTGGCTGTCGTGGGACGGACTTGTGAATTCGGCAGGGCACGATGACTGACAAGTAATAGCCTTGGCAATGTGGGATCACGCTCCCTCGCGCTCCCGCTTTCCCTGGAGATGGCAAACGTTGCACGGCCGACGCCGCCGGGTGGCCCCTCCCGCCCGGCCTTCTTGCGAAGGCCCTGCGGGCGGCGCCGCCGACCCTGAAGAGGCTTCCCTGCGAGTCGATTACGACGTTGCTAGGTTGTTCTCTCGCCGACAGGCTTGAGCAGGAGGGTGCAGGGAAAGGGGACGACGGAGACGACGACTGACGGATACGACGACTCGAACAGACAAGCCCCTCACACACGCCGACAGGGTCGGCGGATTTTGGGGAGACCCTGTCCCCGCCCGATGGCCAGGAGCCCCACCAGCCTCGGCTGTCCTGATACGCCCGTTTTGAAGCGCAGCACGTGCCTTGCTCAAAACGTGCGTGGTGGCTCAGCGTGTTGGTCCACGTCGCGCGGTGGCTCGCGCGTTGACCACGCTCTGGCTCACGCTGCGTGGTGGCTCGGCGTGGTGGCCCACGTTTTGGCCCCGTCGATCTCCGTGCCGAGCTCCAGGCCAGCACGCTACGGGTTGCGCCTTGCGCATCGGGGCGGCCCCGCCACCCGGATCGCCAGGCCCGCCGAGTGCCCTCCGCCGGGCGGGCGCCCCTCGGGTCGGACGGCCTCGCTGCTGGCGGGCCCCGGAGCCGGTGGCCCGAGGCGGGGGGCCGCCCATGCGGGCGTCGGGCACCGACGTGCTCGGGCCCCCCCCGGTGCCAGGCTGTGTGCACGTCCACCGCCCGCCGGGGTCCCCAGGACGTCGGCTGCCCAGCGGCGGACATGGATTGAGCCTCCGCCTCGCGGGTGAGCGGCGCAGCATGACGGGGTCGCCTGCGCCGGCTGGCACGTGAGGCCGCGCGCAGGCGCCCTCGTCTCCACTGTAGAGTGCCGCGCCGGCGGCCCGCGGATCACCACCCACCAAACCACCCCAACCCAACCCGAAGGCCCAAATTTATCGTCGATTTCCAGTGGGCGGGTGTCGGGGAACACTGAACAAACACATGGAACCCGTACCCCTCCCAACCCGAAATTCGATTCAAGTTCGGGTCTTCGGGTTGGGTTGGGGTGGTCTGGTAGGTAGTCAGCGTAGACCGCCGCGTATGGTCGCTACGTGATCCCGCGTGCGATCCGCTTTCGATCGTCGCTCAGCTGGGCACGCCCGCGCCCGCGAGTCCCGCGGAGGCCTGCTTGCCCTCCGTCGCGTCAGGCGCGGCACGATCGCGCCGCGGAGAAGGGAGGAGGGACGAGGGAGGAAGGAGGGGGGAGGGGGAGGGAGGAGGGAGAAGGGAGGAGGAGGAGGGAGGAGGGAGGAGGAGGGAGGAGGGAGGGAGGGGGGGAGGGGGCGGGAGCGGGGGAATGGGGGGGGAGGGAGGGAGGGAGGGAGGGAGGGGGGAGGAGGGAGGGAGGGAGGGAGGGAGGCAGGGAGGGGGGAGGTGAGGCAGGGAGGTGAGGGAGGGAGGGAAAGGGAGGAGGGAGGGGACGGAGGGACTGGGAGTGGAGGGAGGGAGGCAGGGGAGAGGAGGGAGGCAGGAAGACAGGGAGGGAGAGAGGAGGGAGGTCAGGGGGGGGGGGGGAGGAGGGGGGGGGAAGGGGGGGGGGGCGTGGTAAAGGCGTCGTGAGCCTCACAGACCTCGCAGCTTTTCTCGACCATGACGACCCGAGGCCGGCACGGCAATGGCGACTCGCAGCTTGCGCGCGTAGCTACACTCTATTTGAATGCGGCGCGAGCGGTGAGTCTGTCATTGCCTGCAAGGAGAGCGGTGGCCCTGGGGCGAGCGCTTGGCTTCTCCCACCGCGGCGGCCTCAGCACTCCGTGTCCGACCAGACGTTCGTGACGTGCGTCCGCCTCCGGTGTTCCAGTCCGCCGGTCCGTGTTTCCGCCGTTCGAAGCCCCGGCAGGACCGCCCCGGTGCATTGTGTGGGTGCGCGCGCGACCTGCATGGTCGGCGCCCTATCATGTGCGGTGTGGGCGGCATGGTGAACGGCCGTCACAATGCCCTTCGTGACACGCTCGTGAACACCATCACGGACATCACAGAGTGTCCGGCCACCGCGGAGCAGCACGACCACACCTTGCCAGATGATCGTCGGCCCGATCTGCACTTCCAGAACCACCGGGGCGAAACTGAGCATATCGATGTGGCTATCGTGAGCCCGTGGGCAAGGTTGGGTGGCCAGAACCCCCGCACCACACGACATGGTGCCGCCTTCGCGGCCGAGGAGGCCACGAAGCGCCGGAAGTATGCCCAGCTGAAGCTAAACCCTGCAGTGGCGTCCTGCTTCCGCCGCCCTGGGGAAGGCCTCATCACCCTGGTGCGCTCCCTGTGTAGAAACGAGGACCAGGAATAACGCTCTGCGAACGTGAGCCTCGTCTGGCAGGATTGGGCGGCCACTCTGCAGCACTGGAACGCCCGGCTCCTAGCTTTGGCTGGGCCCCTGATCCTTCCGTAGTTCGCTGGCCTCGCCCTTCAGGGCTGGTTCGTTGTTTGTTTCTATCGGGCCGGGCGAAAGGGGGGGATTGGGAAAGGGGGGGTTACGAAATTTGCTGCGTGCAGCTGGTTTCGGCCTCACCGAGGGGCCCATTCCTCGATACATAGCCGCCTCCGGCGCCGGGAGGCGCCGGGAAAATCAGCTACGTGAGCTGATTCTCAACCCCCCCTTTGCTATCCCCCCCTTTCGCCCGACCCGATTCTAGTTACCTTACCTTTTTTTCCCTGTCCCTCCTCTTCCTTTTCGCCCTCCCCGGCGCCGACGTGGCCCCCACGCGGCGCAGACCCCTAGGCGCCGGGCCGCGGTGGGCTGGTTTAGTCCCCCCCTCCTCCTCCCCTCCCCCCGTTCTTCGTCGTCCTCTTCCTCCTTCCGCCTTTGCCGTGTGGCATCCACTCCAGCGCCCGCGGGACCGGTTTGGGCGCTGCCTGGAGGCCCGTCGCCCGCGGGGCCGGTTCTGGCGCTACCTAGAACTATTTCCATAATCCAGTACGCCTTGCTGACGTATATAAATGCTTCCGCCTTTGCGGGCCGTATTTCGTGACATGTTCGTTGCGTGTTGTAGCCTTCGCGGGCTTCCTCTTCAATCACCGGTTGGTCATTTTTCGCGCGAGATCTTCCCGAGGTCTGGGTCAGGGGCGCGTCGCCCGCAGCCTCGTGGAGGTTCTGATATTTCCCTGCGTGACCTTCCCTCGCACGCCTGGTCCGTGAAACTCTGGCAGTTTTGTATAACGAATGTGCGCGGCGCTGCGGCGAGGGCCACATTTCGAAAACGACCCGCCCTTAATCCGTGAAGCTCTTGCAAATGTTGAAAACGAATGGGAGCGGCGCTAAGGCGAGAGCCACATTTTGAAACGACCCGCCCTCAATCCGTGAAGCTCTTGCAAACATTTAAAAACGAATGTGCGCGGTGCTAAGGCGAGAGCCGCATGTTGAAAACCACCCGCTCCCGATCCGTAAAACTCTTCCTTTTTTGTAAAACGAATGTGCGCGGCGCTAAGGCGATAGCCACATTTAAGAGACGGCCCGCCCTCCATCTGTGAATCTGTTGTCACTGTTTAAGCTTCAGAGTCATACTTGGCGAAGAAGTCTCAGGCGAAACGCCCGGCCAAACCTAAAAGCTGGCCTCGGGGTGCGACAGGGAGGAGTTATGTAGAAGGAGAAGGCACGGAGGAGGAGGAGGAGGAGAAACACTGGAAGGAGGAGGAGGAGGAGGAGGAGGAGGAGGAGGAGGAGGAGGAGGAGGAGGAGGAGGAGGAGGAGGAGGGGAGGAGGAGGGGGAGGACACGCACATGGCTTGGGGGGTGTTCGATGTCCGCCGCGAGAGAGCGCGGCCGACTATGGAGGGCTTAGTGCCTCCTCTCCCTGGGTCTTGGCACGCTCCTCGCGCACCAACTGGGCCAGGGGAATAGCGGGGGTCTTAAAAACGATCGGGGACGACTTTGTGCCCTTTGGATCTCGACCCTCCTGGACGCGGGCTAGCTGAGTGGCCGCTCCTTGGTGGCTCACTCTAGTGCTGCACGCACTAGCGAGCCCTCGACCCAACCCTTCAGAGAAGGATCCACACTTATGGCAAACCAAGATACTCGTCGGGTGATCAAGGTGCTCGTAGTAAAACAAATCATGGCCTTTATTATCATGCACAAGATCGGAGAGCTGCTTACAGTGGCCTGGGCAATGCTGGGCCTGTAAGACTCCCCGCTGTTTGAAAGACTTGGTCTGCACTCTACACAGGATGCACCTGTGGTACTGATGAATGAGAGCCCACGTGCGGTACCTGAAGGGCTCTCTGGGCTCCTCGTGGGGCACAGGAGGAGGCGGAGGGGGGGGAGGCTCGACCGACGACGGCGGCGTCCACGACGAAAGGGCAGAGGCGGCACCCGAGGGGGGAGATAAACTCTTCTCTGGGGCGGCCAAGGCTTTGTTGCGGTGAGGGGCGATCGCGGGCCACTCTCCCAGAGCCTGAGCAACATACTTCAAATATCGCACGAGAAACTTCCGACTGTCAGTGAAATCGCTTTTCTCTGCTTCACTGGGCTGCATTCCTTTAAAAGCGGCGGCCTTGGCAATACGATCAGCAGTACTATTACCTTCGGCCAACCTTCTCTCTTCACTGCCTTCTGAGAGGGCCTGCAAATCTTGGTGGGCCTTGACCTTGCGCAGGCGCTGGCCGAGGGGGAACTGGCTCCTGCCAGCCAACACCTTACACCCAGCCCACACGTTGTGCCGAGGGTACTCAGACCCTTGGTGCAGAGACAGAACTCCTTTATAATCAGAGTAAATGACTTCAACGCCCCTAGAAAGAATACTGGCCGCAACAGCGGCCAAATGCTCCGCGGCACCCGAGGTTTGTAAAAACATCTGGCCGACTCGGCCACTGAAATGGGCAAACGCTTCTCCGTTACGCATACAGACAACCGCGAAACCTGCGGCGTTGAAAACATAGTGACCGTGGTTAGTGCAACTACCATCTATATACACTTCCCCTTCGCTGAAAGCCTCCTGAGGGGTGATCCCCTCCTGAGCACACCAAAACTCCCCAAACTCCAGGCCCGAACCAGGAGGGTTCTCACCACGATACTCGGGGACCAGCTGGAAACCGAGATACTGGGGCAGGGTCTGGGGAGGAGGCTCTCTTAAATTCTGAAGCTCCGCTGCCGAGAAGTGAGTGGCTCTGAGATTCTCTGTCTTCGGGCAGTAAAGTATGCGGTGGCCGAGGTTGTCCGAATGGTGGCCGCACTCGCAGCCAGTCTCGACTTCGTATCCTGCTGCCTTGGCTCTGTCCATAGTCCATATACTCTGAGTGAGGAAGGCGAGGAGGGTTCCCTTCTGGTGGCCAAGGAGGTCTGGCGATGACAGAGCAGCACGGGCAGCAACCACATCTAACTGGGCGTTCGGGTGGCCGATCTCTCGGCCGCCTTGGAAGCGAGCTGGCCGTGCCAGTCGAACTCCATGAGCTTTTGGAGGAGGGCGGGGGAATGTCCTGGGAGAGGGTACTCAATGCCTGAGGAGGTCACAAAAGTAAATGGTCCCTGGAATTTCCAACCGATCCTTTTAAGCGAAAGCACCGCGGCGCTGAGGGGGCCCCTGGAGGAGCCCCAAGATTTAGCAACTCTCGGGAGGATGGCCTCAGCCCAAACACGCACTGCTGGAGACTGGTCACGGCGAGGTGGGGGCGGGTGGCGGCGTCCCAGACAAGGCGGTGCCACATAATGGCGGGGCCCAGGGCAGCTTTCCACAAGGGGTCCTTGAGGATGAGCAGAGCCAAACTGCGGCTGCGCGTCGGGCAACGGGGTCCCGCAGCAGCCAAAAACTGCGACCTAGCTGATTCCAACTGCGTGCCATTGATGCCAGTCACCTCGACTCCGAACGTGGTGGCCGCCTCGAGGCCAGTCCTATACAACTTATGAGTGTCACCCCCAGCTCTCTTGAGCATGCGAACCCTGTTAAGTCTTTTACGCATCTTATCAAGACGCTCCGAAATCTTACGCTGCGTTCTCCATCGGCGTTGGGGCCGTCCAGCCCCAGTTTCACAACCCAGGTTAGGTCCAGACCTATCCGCGTTCGGGCCCGCCAGAGGCCCGAGAGCCGTCCTGAGTTGATCCTGAAGGGCTTGTTGGGACGCCAGGACCTGACTTTTCTTGCTGGCGATCTGGCACTTAAACTCATTGATGATGCAGTCTGCCATGGACCTGGCAGCAATATTGAGCTGGCTGACGATGAGGCTGTAACTGCGACCGTGGCACTGGAGCAGCAGATCATCTATAAACATCGCGAGCCTGATATGACCATGCGCCTGCGTCCACACGTCGAGCGGGGCGATCACATACATTTGCACAAGATAGGTGGCCCAACTGCATCCTGCGGCAATGCCCCTCCAAGGCTTGCCTACACTGACTGCACAATCTTGTAATGCAACTATGCGTTCACTGGCATATTGAGATAATATGATACGCAATAAACAACACGGAACACCTGATTCAACAGCACGGTAAGCGAGACATGGCCGATCAACATGTTCGTAGTAGTTAGATAAATCGTAGAGAACTTGGGCACTGTATTGTGGATCTTTGTCAGAGCTGTTGAACTCGCATTCCAAGGATTGTTTGTATACTAATTCCACTATGGAGTGGCCAGCCTGATGAGCAAGGTACGGCCTGCGGTGGTGTGCCTCCCACTCTCTGGCCGCTGACCTCCTGAGCCTAGCCCAGACTCTGTACAAAGCTGGAAGCATGCCAATGGACCTGAAAGAAGGCTGACTGGCTGGGGCATCATGCTGTTTCAACTTCATCATCAGAGTCGATACGATACCTTGGAGCTGGGTTGGCATATGTCCAATCTTTTCAAGCAGGCCAATAAAATCGCAGACAATCTCTGCCTGTTCATTATTCAACATACTGAAATGCCTAGGGTGGAAACCGTCCCAGGTAGAGGCAGTGGCATGGGGAAAGCTTTTCGCAACCTGTCGTAATCTCTTGGGGCTGATGGGGCCCAGGGCATTACGATCATCTCTGTCAGGAACGAGCTGTGGTGGGGTACCGTGGGAAACCTGCCATATTTGTGCCAGACGATCGGCTTCTGCCTGCAATATATGCTGGGGCCTGCCAGAATACTGCGACTTAAATGGAACTGACGAGGGCATCCAGGCCTCCAAACGCTTGGTCCATCTGTGAGCCCATCCCATTCCTCCCTTCATGTTGTCCTGAACCCAATCCCTCCATGCCTTCCCGTCTGCAGCGTTCTCTGCCGCCTGCTCCTGATGCAGGAGCTTGGTGACGTGCTCTAGCAGCTCGTCCAGAACCTGGATCGCCAGCGCCTGGTTCAGGGCACCAGCGCTGAAATCAACGTGCAACAGACCTGCAGCAACTCTAATCTCTTGCAGCCCCTCCTTGAGGGACACGACGGTGGTGAACAGCTCAGGGCAATCCTCTAAGCTGTCGAGAGCGTCCTGAAACTCAGTGAGATTCCAGTCCTGA